AAGTGAAATGTGTTATAGCCGTGTTTTTCAAACTTGGCAACTTTAAGATGGGTGGACTTCACCCCCAAGAATCCCCCAGCCAGCCTGGGGAATTCCCCTGGCTGGCTGGGGAATTCTGGGAGTTGAAGTCCACACATCTTAAAGTGGCCAAGTTTGAAAAACACGGCTATAACACATTTCACTTTGTCAAGGAGTGTTGTGGAAACACCACAAAGGGGACCACTGACCACGTCAACTAACCACCAGGATCTGGATTTAAGCCAAACAGGAACTCCAACACTCAGCCGTGAGAACACCAAAACCCAGCCAATGTTGCCTATCTAGTCCTCCCAGCCATAGAGCTGGAGAGGAAGAGCAGCTGAAAGTGACCCTCTACATCACACAACTCACTGTCCCACCCCTGCCGCCCAGAGCACCTGGTCCCCAAGGCAGAGTGTCTGCAGCAGCCGTGCCCGCTGCTGCCTCTCGGCTCCATGGGGAGGGGGCTCGTGGCCCCTGAAACCCGAGGCATCAGGGGACCCTGAGCATTCCTTGGAGAAAGGGGGTGGGGATGGTGCAATGCCAAAGTGACCCAACTGGTGTGAGCCTGCAGTGCCAGACCCACCATTAAGGAGATTTGGGTGGGCTCACAGCTGATTCGACTTAAACGTCGTATGGAAACAGAACCGAATGAACAACCCTGCAAAATTAGTGTCAGCACGATAGAGAATGTGGGACCAGGGCACACCAAGGTGGCATCTCCCTCCGCCCTGCAGGTTATCCTGGGACCGTGAGGCAGTCACCATCTCTCAGTCTAGCCTACTTCACAGGGGTGTTGTGCAGATAAATGAGGTAGAGGGGACAATGAAGTACGTTGCCTTGCTCTGATATACAAACAGGATAGCGATAAGTATTACGTAAAAGACGCTCTGCCACAGGCCACATTGCCACCAAGAGCACGCTTTTTAAATTCTTGTGCCAAATATATCCTTCCTCCATCCATCCAAGATGATCCATCCCCAAGGAGAACCAGGACTCCATGTCCTGAAACATTTACCATATATAATCACAGATAAGCCTATCGGCAGATCGACTGACCCTCAGAATTTCAGCCAAAATACAGGTTGTCCTTGGGTTACGACAGCAGTTGGGACCAGAACTGCCGTCACTAAGTGACACAGTAATAAAGTGTGACATGTGACCATATCGCTTAGCAACAGCAGTTCCAGCAGTCCTGGTTGGTGTCGTTAAGCAAGGACGACGCAGGCTGTTAAGTGAGGACCTCACATGACTGCGACTTCCAACTTCCTGCTGGCTGCCCCATTGACTTTGCTTGTGGGAAGCCAGCAGGGAAAGTTGCAAATGGTGATCACGTGCCCATGAGGACACTGCGACGGCCAGAACTCTGAGGATCCAACATAAGTCCCCTTCATTCAGCACCGTTGCAAGTTTGAACGGTCGCTGAACAGGTAGTTGCAACCCGAGGACCACCCGCACCACGAAAAATGTGTCACCCATGGATAAGCCGACCCTTGAATTTTTAACTGCAGTGGCAGGTGGGAAACTGCAAAATGTTATATCATTATTTATAAAACGGTGTGATTTTAAGGCTGTGACGGGCTTTTAAAAAATCTGAGCTTCACTCCACAGATAATCCAAACCCAATTTTGGGGGTGTATTTTAGAACCTAAAATTCCCGACTTGTCTGCGAGTATATATGGTACCTGGAGAAATCTCTCTGCAAACCGAACTACAAAACTTTTCCTTACGTGGTTCCCATCCCATGCCTGGAGCTCTAGTGGTTCTCCTAGCCACCCTGGCAGGGAAGGGCAGTCACAACGCCAGTCACCCCAGATAGGAAGGCTCTGCTAGTGTTTTGCACAGGCATGCCAACTGCACAGCAGGCCAGGATGGTAACATAACCAACCACATTACAGGCCCAAACGGCCTGCCATCCAAACCAGCAGCCCAGGATTATTAGCTGTGCCATGCAAACCCATGTAGAAAAACCAGGTGTTGAGCAGTTTCATTGCACCACGCAGGAACATGCAAACAGTGCTACAATTGCTACCAAAAGCCCACTTCTTCAACCTCCCCAGAACGCGGCACCAGGCACCACCACCATTTCCACATGGGCACGTCAACCCTGGGCCCTTAGTATGGCCCCCCGATTTATTTATTTATCTGTTTAATCGATGTATACAGCATGCATTTCAGGGCACCGAACAACAATTTAGCGTAAATTAGCGCCTTAGCCACCCGTTAGAGATGGGGTCTCTGAATGAAGTCAGGGTTTCTAAGCCAGCCGTGCCGCGAACTCCTGATCCTCTCCTGACTGTTGTTTTAACTGGATCCTTCAGGACTGTTCCTAGGAAGCTATTTATTAGCGGATGGACTGTCCTCCAGAGAGAGCCATGTTCCAGGAAACCTCAGCGTACCATTAAAACCAAAAGGCACCTCCGTGCTCAGAGCCAGACTGTTCAGTGTGGCAAACGCTGCTGACGGATAAGCAGGAGAAATCTTCTTTCTTTATTTACGGCCCTAAACCACTGAAATACCCCCCAAAAGAACCCTAAACCTGAAGCACTTAATAATGAACAGAGGGTACCAAGTGACTTCTGCAAGCCATACCTGAG